AGACCACTTGTGATCATTAGGTATCATCATTAAATTTGAATTTAAATAAACAACATTTGTACTACATTTAAAATAAACCAAGGACATGCATATTGCTACTTTTTGTGACCAATTGTAACTTTTTCATGACAGCACTGATGACAATCTTATCAACAAGCTACAGCCACTTTAATTCAAAGAACAAACAGTACAGACAGATGCAGTGGCAGCAGGGCACTGCAGATTTTCATTTTGGTCCCATTCTTTCTGCAACGCCAGAAGGGCAAATGCTAAAATGCCAAACTCTATGGGGGGCACTGTACCCTGGTGCCACACCCCCCCCCCCCTGTTCTGCCGCCTATGGACAGATGTTAGGAAATCAAACCTGGAAGCCAAATAGGTCAGTTTTGTTAAAAATAATCCAGCAATCCACTTCTGCCAGGTATGAAATCCCAATCCAGAATGTTCATATGAGCTATTAGGGGAAGTTGGGGCAATGCCGGAGTTGGGGCAAAGCCGAAATTCGAGATATTTCGAAAACCGTAAGACATGGATGCCACCTGTCAGTGATGCTCTGAAGCTTAAGTGACTACAATTATCGCATGTTTGTTACGAGTCGTCATTCGGAATACTTCGACTGTGAGGGCGCCAAGAGCGTTTTCAAGGTACGTTTCCCTTGTACTACATGCGCCTTTGAAGCTGCATTTTTTACTCATTATGCTACCGTTTGTCTGGCCAATTCGGTCAAGTAATCTTTAGCATGTCTTTGCATAAGTGTGCTGCCTATTTGAAATTTATACAGCACGTTGAAAAGTTATGGGCCTGCAAATGAAAGTATGGCTGGCTGGGGTAATGCCGAAAACGTGCGATTACGCACGTGTTAAAAGCACGCTACGTGGACTTTACTGCTGTAGAATAGCAACGCGTATTTTTAGTCACACAAATTACACTTTCAACCGACACAACGGCCTGTTACCTATAAGGAATGATTTACCTGGCATTTTCTTATTATATCACACAATTATAACTTCCAGTGTGCACCACGTCCTCAAGCTCTTGAAACGTGTGTCAGCTTTGATGAATTCTGGATAAAGTTTGAGATAAAATGGCAAAACATCAATGTCGGCATTCCCCGTAGATCATTTCTCCCATTTTCGGCTTTCCCCGCAGTCCGGGGCAACGCCGAAAAAGTCACTCCTATGATATTTTTAGTTTGTGCGCTTAACGGTATGCGAATTCATCAAATGCGCCTGGTATGTTTGAAAGGCAAAAGATTGGCCTCTCGAATGACGCCAACAAGAATAGCGTATGTTGTCTACCTTGCGTGCTACGGGCGTCAGAAAAAAAGTCTTCGGCGTTCCCCCAACTTCCCCTAGTATGCGCAACACAATTTCGATTTAGTAAGAATAGCAACCAACCTCTAATACTTTCCTAATAAAATTACAAGTTCAAAAATGGCATCAACTTCTTCAGATTTCCTACTTTTGGCCACTTTTGGCATCCTGCCAGCTGCCACGTGTGGTGCCATGCTGTGCTTTTGTTATGAGGGACGACGGTGAAAACAGGGCGCCTGGGGCGATTTGATCAAGGTTCGTGAAATTTACACGTGACGTTTGGGATATAGAAGGCCCTTGGAGCGGAAGAAGTTCCAAATGTCACGTGACTAATATGCCCTCCGGCGCCCTGTTTTCACCGGCGTCCGTTATTAGAGAACCTCCCAAAAAAAGACAAACGAAATTCACAGCTCACGTTTTGGTAATATGGTTTTATTACGTCATTATCGTTTGACCAATGAAAAATCTTAATTTGACCAAGACCGTAATGATTCCAAAAGATTCCCCGTAATAGGCCCTCTAAACTAATGACGTAAGATATTGTTATTCTTTTGAAAAGTGAATAAAATTAAGCTGCAAGGCACACACCGCTCAGGGCCATATAATATCGTTTCAGCTTACGTTTACGTCATTAAATTCAACGCTACAAAGATGATATTCACAAACAATCGTATCGTAAAATCATGTGAGGCAGAAAAAATGAACATTCTTTAAAAAAAGCTCCAGAATTTTGATTTTCCAGTTTGATTTTTTATTTATTTTCATTATACTCGAAGGTAGAACGCCTAGCTCATTTGTTATTTGAAATGACGTCACGAGTTCAATTTAGATACTGAATAATCATTTTACGGTAAATATCCAAGGCCATTACAATTGATATTTCGCTTCCCATCGCTTCCGCAGGCTGTTGAATATATATTTTTATACTTTTGTTTATATCTCAGTTTATTTTATCAAATATTTCTTTCAATAGATTGAAATACCTTTACCTAACCAAGCCACATGTGTCAGTATCATCTTTTATTGTTTATCAATCAATTGTGGTAGCTGGAAACTGGAAAGCCTCATGGTTGTCTAATGCAAGATCAATGAGATTGTCTTATCAATATCATTATGTAGATTCTAACATGAATTGTGATGTGGTAGGTACCTAGTTATGTATTGTTCATTAGTCATTACTTTGACTTACCTCTATGTTAATTGTTAATGCAAACTTTTCTGTTGGTATGTGAACTGTGAACAATCTTCATGTCACTCAATTCTCTCAAGTTGTGACCGTCATGAGCCTCCTTTATTTTGTATTCTGTATAATGTAACTGGATGCCTTTACTAATATGGTCTTTGTATAAGATTGTTTGTTTCTAACCATACTTTGGTATTCATAACTTCTTATGAAAGAAAGTTGTTAACATTTTGAGCACCTATGTATGAGCTATGATCCCAATGGATCTCACGACAAAATTGGGGAGCCAGATCTATGATCCGAGTGGATCTAGCGGCAAAATTGAAGGGTCAGATCTATGATCCCAGTAGATCTCTCGACAAAATTGAGGGGTTGGATCTATGATCTGAATGGATCTCGGATCGGGATCCATGGGATCGGATCTCAGATCCATTTTTCCGGATCCAAGCACATGTCTGGAAAGAGCAGTGCTCGAAATATATCGCTTTTGTATTGTATTTTTGCCATTACAGTTTACTTAAAGTATTAAGGATAAGGTCAAATGACTCATACAGTATTAACTATGATTTTCCTCATAACGCTGAACTTAATCATAGATGTTTCCCTGATTAAAATACATATTTAGGTTTACATTATTGATACGTGTAAGTTGCTTTGCCATTAGATGGGTTTACAATAAAATTGTTGATTTGCTTTCTTTGCGAGATAAAAGGATAATTTTTATGTCGTTTGAACGCGGCCCCCGGTCAACAGACATGGTAGCCCAAATCTAGTCGGATATGAAAATTCTTCTAAATCCATAGACTTTAATGCTAAATTGACTATATTTGAGAGGGTTTTATGCAACTGTCGGCCAAATGTCACGTGACATTTGACCTTGACTCGGCACCAAAATTTGATGACAAATACTGCGCGGTTGATACATTTGATGGCGTCAACAAACTGCTTGCTCCAAATCTTATACAATTTTAAGCTTGTATCAGATTTTCAATCTTTTCTCTTGTATTTTGCTGTGACCTGCCTAGTATTTTATTGCAGATTGCAGAGCTCTTACTCTGATTCAGTTTTGTGTTGCTGCAAGATGTAGGTACATTTAGGAGGTTTCCAAGAGAGGAGAAGATGAGGGTCGCTTGGGTGAGGGCTGTCAGGTAAGATCCAGATGTGTCCTTGGTAAGATCCAGATGTGTCCTTGTTAGCTGTATTGATAAATGCAATACATTATGTAGTAATGATAAATGTAATAAATGTTATGTAATGACAAGCACAAACCAGGAGCTTTTACAGCCCAATGATCACCATAGGCAAAGATTCCATTTCTCGTCCTGAAAAGTGCCTTCTTGAGGAATTTGCTGAGGAATGCAGCCATGTCATCGTCAGCTAATCAGCATTGGCATGCTGCTAACAGCCAATGGGTTTGAATTTTACAACATGATTAATCAATGCAAGCTTCCGCGTCAAACAATATTTTCTATAGAATATTGGGTAGTTGTAAAGCAGGCGTCACACTACTTTTTGCAATGAAGGAGAGGTGCTATACCCAGAGATGCTTTCTAATTGAACCAAGCCAAAACAAACCTAACTAAACCTGACCTAGCCATACCTACAACCTAAACTCTACAACCTAGGTACCTACAACTTAGAACCTACAACCTAACCTACAGCACCTCTCCTTGGTTGCAAAAAGAAGTGTGACGCCTGCTTTACTACTACCAAATATAGTTCTTCTTTTATTAAAATACAGAAAATATTGTTTATATAAAGGTTTTATTTTTGTGCTGATCATAATGAGCATAACAAATCAAATCCATTGCATAAAACTAATTACAGGAAAGAGAACATGAAATCCATTAAAAGCTTATCATGTTTACCACAAGTTACCTAATGAAGGTAATGCTTTGACCTGGTAATCCGTTGAGTGTAATGCCGCAGGCAGCTCTAAGGGATGTGTTGGGATGGGTAAGGAAAATATTTTTGGTTGAAGAGGTGTGTTATAGGCTACAGGCCAAATGCATACCTCTTTAACAAAAAAAAAGAAAAGATGTAGGTACTCTTACCTAGCATATATTCCAGTTACTATGTACAAAAAAGACGTGCTACGAATGTTGCTAGCGAACCACTGTAGGTTGGGTTAGTTAAGGTTTGACCATGTTCTGAAGCATTGTAAATAATCATAATTGTTCACTCTTAGCACCTCACATTGATATAAAGCCAATTAACTACATTTTGATTGCTAGGTGAGGATGTCAACCTTCTGATTCTGGATTCTGGAGCCAAAATAACATGATACAGTGTCAGTGATACCATCTTGTTTAGAAGCTGTGGCTGTGCTGTCTGAGTCAATATCTTACCTCTAAACACAAGGCATTTTGTATGTAAAAGTCCACGTGCAAGAACAGTATGCCAGTTGTTACATTTGTTGCATCTGTCATTTACAGACGTGCAGATGCAGTTCCCAGGAGCACTTCCCAGCTCTGTTCCTGTCATTTTGAGGAGGGCAGCTGCATCCCAACACTTCCAGTACAACGGGACATCGGGTACCAGATTGCTCATTTCCGGTAAGCACTAGCCACTTAACTTCATTGTTTGAGTCCAACTCATATGCCAGGTTGCTTACCATACCAGTATATGCATAGTAATGATGCAAGTCTTGAGCCTACGGGCCCGGGCGGTGTTTCACGGGACGCTGCTACCACGCTGCTATCAAATTGCGCGAGCTGACGTCACACTTGTGGTAGTGTTGGAGCAATGGGCCTGTTCATGTCTCCATGGAAACCCAATTTGACACGTGTAAAAGCATCGTGCTGCTATCACCGGTGAAACAGGGCCCCGGTGTCGGGCTTAAAATCGGACCCGCCGGACTTTTGCCGGGCCTAAGCTCGAGGAGGCCGGGCATATGCCGGGCTCGGCAAGGGCTTGCCTGTGTTAAAGGGACAATGCCACCTTCCAAAAAGTTAATAAATTGGCATAAAAGTGATGTGCCATAAATCAGAAAGAGCGAAATTTTTAGGTTTACATTTTGCACGAAGCCATCAAAGCGATGCAGCAGGCTAGTCATATGTATTACTTGTTGCACACTCATATCTTGGGCAAAATGTATTGATGACAAGTGGAAGAAGTGGAAAAACGGTTTTAGCCTTTATTTGTGTATTATGTGTATACCTGTCAGCGCAGTGTGGAAGTTGAAATTGTTGGTTTGGTAAATCTTCATAAAAAACATAATAGTTGTGGTTCAGTTCAAAGTTGATTCAAATTCACAAACTCAGTTTTTGTGATGTGGTTGCAGGTCGCCTGTGCTACACCAAGCTCAGAAAGGGAAAGCGGATCACACAGCCACCATCAGCGCGCTAGAACTCCAAGGAGGATCTGCGAGCGGCGCGCCAGGCGCCGTCGGAGCAGCCCCTGGTAGCGACAGCCGCCGCGCCGTCGGAGCAGTCCCTGGGAGCCACGGCCAGCCGCTGTCGGAGCAGCCTCTGGGAGCCGGCCGGCCGCCGTCGGAGAGGCCTCTGGGAACTTACCTGTAACTGACTGCGGCTGACGTGTGTGTCCGTGTGCGCGCGTGTGTGTGTGCGTTTCCACTGGCAGTGATAGTGACAGGTGAACGGTGTTCATGACCGATGGCCGGCGGTCTTTGTTGTTATTCTGATAATACGTATGATACATTGTTTTAATATGTTTTGTTCTGAAACGTTTCCAAAAACTGAATCACTTCATTATCATTCTACTTAATTAAAGCATGTTTACCAGATAAAAGGATTTGCAAATCAAAGGAAGTAAAATTGTGTGAAAATTTACTCAGTTGCGCAGCTAGCCAACACACATTTGCTACTGTCAGGCCGCTATGGAACATGTTCAAAGTAGCTCAACGTATTGAATGACTCACTGCTCCCCCCCCCCCCCCCCCGCCAACGTTGGCGCGCATTGGGCGCAGGCACAAGAGTGGTATCAACGACCGCCGTCTTGAGCTGCACCAGGGTCTGCTGACTCTTCGTCATGTATGGTGCATTGTTCAGATATCCCCGCTGCACGCTGTACGCTGTACGCCACTGTTTCGTTATAATATTTTCTGCTCGATTTGTTTGAAATATGGAAATATGTATAGACACTGGATGTGCAAAGCGTCCGTGTAGGACATCTACTTGTTTCAAACTGTCCCGGAGCATCCATGTTTCGGAAGTGCACGGCGTCGATGATGGCGAAAACGAGAGGTGCAATAATGTTGTAGCGGAACACCGGGACTGCACACAACTCACTGCAGTTGTCGACGTTTACACCGAATTATCTTGCTCAGCTCAGGTTGGCTTTGAAAACGGCAGGGTCATCGGGCGGGCTTAAAGGCGGTTAATACAGAGGACGGGATGGAGTGAAGGTTCCCGTTCAGGCGGTAAAGGGGGGGGCGTCAAAATACCGGACTGTGACCCCTCAACGTGCGGCCGCCTCCCCCCTCCCCCAACTTTCATGACAACCATGTTAAGGACGGGCGTACAACTGTAAGCACATGTTGCATTTCGGATGTTGTGCCTGTAACAAATGCAAAGTTTTGCATTTTTTGACAATCAAAGCTCATTTCCTCCCAGCGAAGTAGATATTGAAACAATTTTTGAAGAGTTGATCTACCATTTGCGTATTCCGGCGACCGCCATAAAAGCCTCAAAAGCGTGTGAAATTCAATGGGCCTGAGCTGGGCTGGGTTCGGCGCCCATGGGCCCCGCTTGGGATGGGCTGTGTTCTGTGGGTTGGCTGGCCCGTGACGAACACTGCACCCTCGAGCCCGGCATAAACTAAACATGGCCGGTTCATAGTATAAAAGTCCGGCTGAGCCTTCTTTCAGCTTAGCAGCAGCATTCTAGTATTTGCAGATACCGTGCATGTTTCATACAAGACACAATTATACCTATAGATTCGCCCATGACAACCCCGATTCGTTGTTTGCCCGCATCAATAGAACGGAACACCTATCAACTACTAGCTCCAGCATAAACGTATCAACATGGATGCTCGTATAGTCCTATTTACCTTCGTATCCATATTTGATCTAACTGCTCTTTCTGGCACAGTTCAACACAAAACCTTAGTTTGTTGTCTGGAATAGATCAGAACAATACCTATGGGTGTTGTTGGTAGGTAGTTAAAAAGTAATACCTAACGGTAACGGGTGACCTAATACACCGATCACTTCCACTCATCGGTTGCAGTGACTGAAAATGGCTTTAATGTAATTCAAAACTGCATTTATACTCCGGTTTTCAACACTTGTTCGTTGTATTTATAATTAGTGGTGGCTTCTCTTCCGTCATAAGCGCGAATCGAACCTAAAATGGGCCTGTACTTATTCAATTTTGCCGATAAAAATATATTTTTGGTACCGTTAGAAAGCTTACACACGACTGCATGTGGTGCTAGTTGTATCTTTGAAAAATTCGTCCTAGTTTAGTCAGGAGAGCTAATAAAAAAGTAGGTCCCATTGTATCCCTATGGGGGCCGAGAGCGAGTCGGCACCACAGTTACCGGGAGGTGCCCCCGCCACAACCGCACGTGCGGATCCCTCGAAAAACAGCGAGTCCGCCGGTCACGTGACCAGGCTCATTTGCCGACACTGTATTTATATACACTGTGGTTTTATGAAGATACATGACCAGATAGAGAAAAAAGCGAGATGCTATCTTGTAGATTAAATCGTCTGCTATCTGCGACTTTTGAAGTGTTTTTCAATCTGAGGTACAGAAATCGTGTTCCCAAGAGACTGAAAGTAGCCATGCTTTACATTAGACCCAATGGCAAAAATTTGGAATCTGACGAAATTGGCCATTTTTACGTCTGATTTATGAAAATTCTAGACAGGATATATAGAAACCCGAGATGCTATCAGAGGCCTGTTTCACTAACAAATAAAGTGTGTAATTACAAAGAAAAAACTTGAGTTTAAAAGAAATAATTACCAACATTTGAAATTTGGATTTCACGAAACCTTCGGGCATGAATTTTGAGTTTAAAATTTGCAAACTTTTTTACAAGAAAAAGTTTGCTAGAAAACACGGGAATCGCAAACTTTCTGTTTCACGAAGACCAGAAACTTGAAAGAAAACATCGTAATTACAAACCTGAAATTCCAGTGGTCCTGACGCTCGGAATTTTGATACTTGTTGTGCAATGATGCAAAGCAATCAATTATTTAAAACAAATATGATATGCTGAGTCATTATATGCTCTTTTTCACTAAGCACATTTCCTACGAACCAGCTACGAGCAATAAATAAATATCGTCATGTTTTGTCATTCGCGCGCCATAATTGCATTCAACAGTCTTCTGCTGTCAAATGTTTACGTGTTATTTTCTTTCAATAATAAGATATTGTGAACTATCATTTATACCACTCAGAAACAGCATCATTATTTTTAATTTATTCCTGCAATTTCTGACATGAAAACAAGACATAGTTTGATAAAAAGAAGCAATATCTGTAACATGTTAAAGTTCTTGATTAAAAACAATTTTATTGTTTACAAGTTTATTTACCAACTATTTTTATCGGAGGTGCCGCTGGTGATGAAGTTTAGTGAAACCCGATTTTACATAGTTTGCAAAAATACTTATGAATTGTAAAGTTCAAACACTTGTAATCGCAAGTTTTTAGTGAAACAGGCCTCAGGTGGGAAATTTCATTGTCTATTACCGCTTTTTGAAGTGTTTTTCGATCTGAGACCGGCAAATCGTGTTCCCAAGAGACTGAAAGTAACCCTGTTCTACAGCAAGACAATGACAGAATTCTAATATTTGATGGAAGATATCTTAAGTGATAATAACCTTACTACTAATTGCATGGCTTCATTGGAAAGCTCAACACTGGCACTGTCATCGGTCTTTGCATTGCTATTTCACAGAACAACAAGAAATAACGTTTTGAAGCCTTTGAATATTGACTTACTTTTCGTCGACGGGCTCGATCCTCATCACCACCAACAATTTTCCGGGAAGTCAGGATTTTGCAGATATTTAAGCAGAATTGCAGACCTGTGTTAATACTACGGCACTTAAATACACATTTTAAGAAAACTGCTTTTTTTCTTAGCATGAGTTAGGTCTCAGAAACAGCAACATGTCGATATAATGAGGAGAAATAAGTGCAAATGATCACGCAAGAGAGTATCCTTAGCTCCCTAGCAACCACCTAGCAACGTAAGGCAAAATAGTATAAACTAGGTGCAACGGTCTGGCCTGTAGTCCACGCAAAGCACCACCAAGTCGGGACCTCGGTAACGGACAGACGCACCCTCCTCAAATAGTAATATAGACAACTCCTTTGATATCAGGTACTCAGCCTTGGAAGCACACTAGACGGTCACTATACTGGGTTTCATACTGAATTTTGCATACCAGAATGGATGTTTCCAACTAAAATTATTTTTTCGCGAAATTTATCTTTGTTGCCCTACTATTTTTCGTAAAACCGAGATATACAAACTTTATAATATCAAAAATAATATTGTGATAATGAAAACCGCCATATAAAACAAGATAATTGCTGAGATCATGCCTACTAAACTTGGCCCTACCCCCTAATTCAATATACCCTGGTTTGAACGCTTCATGACATATATCCCGAATCGCTCATGGACATGAATTTAACCAATGCTTATAAAGTTATAAGCCAACAATAATACATGTCTTCTCGATGTTTCCTATCTGTGGCGCAATGTTTGTCATCTTTGTAACCGTAATAATGAAAAATGGTCTGCCAGCTCCCATCCAAGAGTTCCTTCATTCCTCCTTAACCACCAACTTCCTTTCCTCGCCCCACAAAATGCTGCCTTTTCGTTGATATGAGCATTGTCACTGGGGAGGATAGCGCCTTTACGCTGTAAATGGTAGTATGATTCAGTGTCGTTACCAAAATGTGTCATGTGTCATGCATCCAAGTGTGGAACGATGTAGGTATATTAGTTAGTGTGTTTACTGAATGTGACGACTGCAAGAGGCCTTAGCAATTTATCAGTGGCGGATCCAGGGGAGGGCAAAATGGGCATTTGCCCTCCCCAAAGCCAAATCGTGTGGGCAAGACTATCTTTTTGCCCCTCCCAAAGCATGTAGCGATGAGAAAATATAATACGGCGTCGATGCCTATATGGACGAAAACCAAGGCTTCTTTCCGTGACGGCCATTCCGAAGGAAGGAGCTGACCACTGGGCACTGGCTGCCGATATTGTGGGTCGGTATGCTGATAATACACAGGGTCTTTCATAATGAGTGTTACTTTTGAACGAGCTATTTCTCAGGACATATATGTTCCTCATGTAATATGTACCATCACATGAAACAGAAACACATTAGCGTTTTGGCACACACAACTTTCATTTTAATGCTCCCCAGGAATTTTCCACTGTATCGCCCTTAATTAAGGCACACGTTTCGGCCCTCTGACGAAGGTGTTGCACCCCGCGCCTCACAACGTCTGGGTCCAGGCTTCCAGTAAACCTCTCCACTGTGGTTCGCAGTGGATGGCTGCAGGAGGGTTTTGTCTCAGATCTGCCAATGCGACTCCCCAAAGCCAGTAGTCCAGCGGGGAGAGGTCAGGACTCAGTGGTGGCCATGGTCGCTCGGTGAGGCGGCTGATAACGCGCTCTTCGAGATTCTCGATCAGCCACTGGCGCAACAGCTGCCATGGTGTGCACTGTGGCACCATCCTGCTGGAACCACAGGCCGTCTCTTTGAACCTTGTCCCTGACCTGAGGCAGAAGCATTCCTTGAGCAGCCTGAGGTAAGCCACCCCGTTCAGTGTTGACCCAGGGGAGAGCCAATGGATGAAGACTTGTCCGTCGACCGTAATCCGTAATGCGTTTTAGTGGTGTCGACATACTCTGCTTTTCCGTGAAGGAAAATTGGCGTCGTGAATTTTTTATTTTTTGGGACAAAACCCTAATCAATTTGCAACAATACGCATATAAAATTCACCCGGAAGTGATAAATTAAGAGCTCCTAACTAAATGTTCAAAAGTAACATTCATTATGAAAGACCCTAGATGGAACTTCCTGAACTGAATGCATGCATATGCAGTGTGGCCATGGTGTGGGGTAACACGGGGCAAGATGCCCAGTCGTGTAAGACGTCCACCACCCTTTTCGAAACTATACCTAA